AGCAGAAGATGCCTTGAGCATCCTAAAAAAGACCACACAAAGCATTAAATTGAAGAAGCTGACTAGGCTGCAGAGAACAAATGGAATGGGGCAGCCCATGAAAGTGGTCCTTACACTTCCCAAGGGTTTCCCTTGCCATTTTGCAGCTGGACAATAAAGCCACCGGTCAAAGTGAATGATCAAGTCCTACAGTAGAGCCTAGGCCACCGCTGCCCATCAGCAAGTCGGGGACCCACAAGAGAAACACTTTGCTGGCAGAGGAAAGGCACCTTGAGAGGTCTCAATGGCAGAGCCAAAGGCTGAGGTGAGCCCGTGTCCCAGGAAAGGTGGTGATCAAGATCCTGGGCTTGATTCTTGAGAGGTTTTTTTCCTCCAGGCCAAGGAGAGAGGATGTGCATGGTTCAGTATATACATGACCTGCTGATGAGCCTCACGCTGCACCCGGGAGGCTGCATTTGCCTGTGAGAGGCAGGGAACAGACGTCCAGGCAATTCATGCTGTCCTCATGGCAGACAACTCAATACCAGCTGTGCCGCGTGCACAAGAAGAGCCTGAGCAGACCCTATCTGGGAGGAGAAAGCGGGGATGGAGGTACGTCTTGACCTGAGCGTGTCTCAGGCCATCAGGGGTGACCCTGAGATCCCAAGCCAAGTGTCCATCCACTTTGTCCGTGGTGCCTAACCATGGGACACCATAGGCCAGAGGGAAGGAAACACCAACATCTCTACCCAGGGTCCCCACAAATTTTCACACCAACACAGATGTGGTTTATAAATTGACCCTGCAGAAATCTGGCGCCTGGAAGAAAGAAAACAAACCAAATAAAACCTGCTTGGGAAACGTCCCTCTTCTCTTTGCTGAATAAAGTTTAGCAATTGAAAATATGTAAACAAACCCCCTCCTCCATCTGATTTTCTCTCCCTGACACCTACTTTCCATATAAAAGGAAACCAAACCAGACTCCCCTTGATGCATTAAACCCACTTTTGGGGGAGCAGAGGAGGGCACTCACACAGGAAATAAAAACACAATGCAGATTGCATTTTGTAGCACCTTCCCTGTTAACTTGCCAAGGCATTTCCCAGCACATGCTAACATAAAACAAAACACACTAAAAATAAAACCAAGCTAAAAATAGACGTAATGGAGGAAATGAATAACGTTCCCCTGGTTCAGTATAGAGTCTGTAGCAAGGAAAACAGGAGGCACTGCGGCTCAGTTTTAAAATACAAAGAAAAGGATGAAAGCCAGAGAGTTTGTGTTTCATAGGTGGAAACTTGCTAAAAGTCTGATTCCTGCTTGACCTCATAAAGTTGTGGTTGGGTACAGAAAGCAAAGAAGAGCCCTGAGCTGCTTGCCCTTGTAGAGAGGGGTTCCTGGTGCTGGTAGTGGGGTGCAAGGGAGTGATACCACGCTGCTTTGGTCTGCAAGTGCTCTTCCAACCTTCAGTGCCTCAAGTAGCTCCAAAAGGAGGCGGCAACTCTTTTTTTCAATACAAAGATGTACTTTCCTAGCATCAAACGCCTGCTGCATCCCGACCTGGAGATGGCTGCATTTCATCAGCCAAGACATGATCTCTTTGTTTTCCCCAGCCTGAAAAGCACTTTGAGATCCTTCAAGATGACAGATGCTACAGAAATACCAAGCCGTCATGTATTTCTTATTTTGGCAACGAGCATTTCTAGACTAAAGTCAGGAAACATCATTTCTTTGTTGCCTTTGTTAGTGTCCCTTTCTTGGGTTATTTTAGGAGAGCGCTAACATGCACGTACTGTGTATATGAGGCTGGGTGCGTGCGAACCAATTCGATTCTTCACGGGAATAACACGCATCTTGTGTGATCTTTTACAGCCGAATGTCTCTAAACTTCTTAAGGTTTTATATTCCTGGATTTTTTCCCCAAACTCCACCTGCCTTGTATGAAATGGATTATTAGCCTTTAAAAATAAAAATACTGCTGTTTCGGAGATGAAATAGGTTTTGAAAATATAATTTGGGGAGGGGGGATATTTGGATGTTTGCTGACTTAACAGAAGCAGATCCTTTATTATTAGTGAGACTACTGGAGGCTGTAAAAGCCTAACCCCCCTCTAAATATTCAAGTCTTTTGTCCAGAAAAGCAGTACTATAAATAGCATTTCCTACTCCTAAGAACTCTGGGGACTTGATTTACTCCCAGTGTTTGCTACGGGCACACGCGTAACCTGCAATTCAGCACATCACAGCTAAGCCACGGCCACGGGAAGCCCGCAGGACGGCAGCAAGAGGAGGAGGAGATGCGAGGATCCCGCTTGGTTCCTGCTGTGCCCAAGTGAAGGGGACAGCACGGTCCCCCTTTGGTGGCGTGGGACCTAGCTTGTGCTTCAGCTATAGAGACTTCTAAGAGAAAAACTTCTACTTTCCTCTCTATTTGTCCCTATATGAGCTTCTCCCCATCCATAGGCGCTGCTCAGCTGCGTGCGGTCAGCCTATTCCTCCTTGCAGGGAGGGGGAAGCTCTCAAGCAATGAGAGTGCAAAATTATTTTAAAGGATGAGAAAATGTAATTGAAAAACCACATCAGTTGGCTGGGGCCTTAGAAGCATGTGTGTACATAGCTGTAACTGCTACCAGGAGGAAACGGACTGCATTTCAGGTGGACACTTATCCTTTAATGTAAGGCTGAGAATAATATTTATATACTGACTCACTAAGATTTATGTTTCTGTATAAATCGCACATGCACTTAAAAAAAAAAGTAAAAAGCAACTGCAGGATATTCGCGTCTTCCAGAACTCTACATAAATCAATTGTACCATGATCCCACAAGCTTTTAGACAAACACAGGCACGCTCATTCATTATCGGGGATGTTCGTCCACCCAGGGCTATCAACAGAAGAAAAATGACAGTAGCAGCGATGCCGTGACCCTTGCCAAAGCCCTTCACTCTTAACACCCCCACAGCTCCAGCAAAGCTTGGACCCGAAATCAGTATTCCCGGCGGCGTGGTTTGAGTAACTGGCTGAACCAGAGCCCTGGATCGGCACGCTTGTAACCTCAGGGAGCCGAAAGCAGAGTCAAATATGGCAGGTCTGGCTGTCGTCAGCCCCGCTACCCCGGCAGGACAGAGCCGAGCGCCGTCCTCTCGCCCCTCCTCGGGCCTGCGCCCCTGCTCGGCACGCTCTTTCCGCCGTCTTTATTTAGGACGACGGTCCTTCCCCGCCCCTCGGCCAGCACGACCCGCTCGGGGACCGGCGC